AAAATTTTTGAACAAGGCATTTTAAGTTGTTAGTTCTCCTTTATTGGGGTAGGTAGCAGAGCAGTACCATGAGAGGAGTAGAACAGGAAGAGGGCAGAATTGAGACCTGTGAGGAAAAATCTAGCCAGCCCTATAGGCCTCAATATCAGCCTGGGCCCACTCCGCAGGCCATAAGCCTGAACCAGGCTAAGTATTGTGATCTCTGACAGTGACAGTCAAAGATTATGACCAGAGGAGGGAGGGAGGGGGGCTGGGGAAGGAGGACGGAAAGCCCCAGCAATAGAAATAATAGCGTGTGTGTTGATGGCTGTTGAAATATAATAACTGCTTTTGTGAAGTAATAAGTATAATGCAATTAGTTAGGATGATTAATTGTACACCCCCCCTTACCCCTTTTGGGTGACCATGCCCTCCCCCTTATTTTAATTGCATAAGCACCCCCTTGTGTAATTGTACCCTGCCTGGAACATTTGTGTAACAGGTACCCCGTATAAGAAAAAGTAATGTCACTGTCGGAAACCACCAAGAAGCCCTCCACTCAATTTGCACCCTATTCTGGGAAAATTGCAAATGAGTGCTGAGAAGATCGGAAAGACCCTAAGTCTCCTATTCCTAATATGGGTATAATTACTGGAATTGTGTGTAGCTTGTTTGAGGTTTTTGGCTTTAAAAAGGTTCAGTGTATTTTGCATCGGGGGAGCAGTATCTGACTGTTACCCCCAACGCGTTGGTATGTATTTAATAAATGTTCCTCAGGCTTGAGTCTCTGATCAAAGTGATGCATGGGTGACTTTTTCCACAACAGACCTTTCAAAGTTTTGGCCCAAGTGAGGGGGCATGGGGGCGTCATTTGAGCTCCCCGCCGCAGGTGCCAAAATGTTGTGGGCCGGCCCTGAAACAAGGTATTAATAATGGAATGATCTGATGCAGTCTAGTTTGATCATATTGCCTTTCTGTCTTGTGCCTAATCATATTCATTACAGATGTGTGAATTCTTCTATGTGCAGGTTGTAGGTTTGGCCCACTGACAATGGTCTTAGTAATTAAGATAATTTAAAGTAAGGATGGTCCAAATGACTTTTTGTTTCAAATTGTAACTCCATTTTATTTTTTTTAAAGGTAAAAAAACCTAGACATGAAACATTTAATTTGCCTTGAAATGTCGGATTTTTTAATGTAAATAAAATGGAAGTAGGATTAGAAACAAAAAAATCATTTTGACTCAAAAGTCACAATCTTTCATTTAAAAAATGTCAAAATTAAATGCTTTCGCTTTTTCAGTTTTTTCTTTTTCTTTTTCCAAATGAAACAACATGTCATACTTGACATGAATTTGTGAACTGTTTTGTATGACCAGAATATGCATTTTTCAGAGAAAAAGAGTTTCATCTGAAAAATTTCACTGAGCTGTCTTTGTTTCCCAACCCTTATTAATCCTCAAAGGCCCATCTACTAAGCATCTTTTTCTGGTTAGTTGTGGTGCTAGTGGACAAGCACAACCCACTTAACATTTTACAATAGTCAGATTTTCTCATGTGAGCACTTTGGCTCACAGCTGCTGCATAACCATTCTACATAAATCTGCTTCCAGGCTAATGAGCTGGGGAATAACTCTGGAGAACACTCAAAAAGAGCAGTGCGTGGAATAAAATGGAGAAACATGTATGCAGATGAAATCAGCAACAAATCTACATGTTCATATAATCCAAACAAGCAAGATGCACACAAACCGAAATAGGAGGATCAGAAGCCAATGGCAAAAACAAAACAAAACAAAACAACCAACTGCTCAGGTCTTTGGCTGGAGCACAGCACAGCACACTATATATGGCAAATCTAAACCCTTTGTAGTACTAGTTGTTCAGTTTCTTCTTGAGCGTAACCCCCCTGAATATTCATATGTAATATTAGTCTTGATAGTTATCCACTTAATGCAGGGCCGGCTCTGGCTTTTTTCTTTTCCATGTTACAATCAAAATGCTGCTGTCACCACTTATTTTGGACGAACACTATACCTGGCCTCCTCCTTTGCTAGCTGTATTTAGTGAGGATTGGTTATAGACA